CACACACACACACACACACCACACACACACACACACACACACAACACACCCACGCACACACACACACACACTACACACTAACCACCCTCTCGTGCTCTTGTATTAACTTCCACGAAAAACCATTGCCGCAAGAATAGCAACCGACCGAACCATTGTCAAACTCCGAGAGATACACCTGCCCGTACAGGTAACTTACCGAGGTCGCGGACAACAACAATATAACTTCTGGACTTATGCGGGCGCATATAGTCAATATTTATCAGGGCGCGGATTTATTTATTCGCGAGGGAGAAGTCGTCTTGATCCTTGTAAACTTTATTCTCGGGGATTTACAGGCTTATCTTTTATAATGTCGTAGGGTGGGTGGGTGAATCCATAGCGTACACCAATTCCGTCTATTTTGTACCAATTATTTCCCTGACAAAAAGTTTCTACTTGACAATAATATCGACTTTCGACGTCTCAGTTTGGGTTTTTTTCTATGTACTATGTGTTGAAGCGTTAGTCTTTCGGGGGTTCGGACACTATATGTTAGAACTTAATGTAGTAAAAGTTTATTCACTAAAGGCATTTGTAAATGGCTAGTAGAACAAACACACTGACTGATTTGTTTTAGAGAGACTTTACTTCAGCGAATAATCGCAATTTAATAAGTTACAGTCGTGGCAACCGTAGGTGAGACCATTAACAGTTTAGTGTAAACCTTTTTTTCATTTTTCCTGACACACACACACACACACACACACACACACACACACACACACACACACACACACACACACACACACACACACTGCACTTTGTGAGGATACAGCACAAACAGTTCCCTAACAGTTGATCTCCCACAGGATTCTAAGTCAAGTCTAAATCTGGTTCAGGCCCATGGGATAGAATTCTTATTTTTCTTATCAGTCATCAGGTCAGGTTATGTATGTTAATGGAAAGCGCAAAATAGAGGAAGCATAACTCAGCTGGGTTGCATGCTCGTACTGTATCATTGTGTTTTGGAGGTGCTTCTTCCTGAGGTCAAAGCTGATGGAGGGCAGCACAATGGCTCATCATTAACGGGTACAAAAGTAAATTGTTTGCATTATCTTGCCAGTTAAATGTCTGCTTGAGGCTGTTTATGTTTCTGACATGATCGAGGGTTTTAAATCTTCAAACCATTTTCCTATGGTTCTTATAGTCAGACTTCTTCTGTGGTTCCTGTATTTGCAAAGAATATTTCCATATGGTTTGTAAAAGCAAAGTATACCCGTTGCTATATCTGGAATGCGTTTTTTTAAATAACCTATTTGCTATCCTTGCTTTTCGTGTGTCTTTAATATAAAAAATAATCCCTGAAGAAGTGACTTGAGTAGGATGGTTTCCAATCACCTTCCTCTTCATCATCCTCAGGTGGAGAAGGGACCGTGGTACCTGTGGGCATGATGTCGGGACTCGCCGTGGTCTTCCGTCTCTCCCTTTCTGTCTCGCTCTCCAAACTCACCACCTCATAAAGTGTGTCAGAGGCAGCACTCTTGCGCTCCTTACGCTCCATCTGAAAAGAAATGCATTACAGAGACATCAGATAAACTCCAGAAGAAAGTGTCAAGAGATCATCGTTTGATTAATGATAAAATATACAGTACTTTTCATTCTTCTTTTCAAATATAACACGATCTCAGACCACGGTTTGCTTTGAAATACTTTAGGTCAGAGCAGATATTTGGTGTAAGTCACAGAGACGTTGGAATGGAAAATCGTGCCACGACCTGACATACCTGTCGTAGTTTAAGGTAGAAGGTCTCAGTGTAGTTGCGCTTGCTGAAGGGCCAGAACAGCCGGTCATTTGGGGAGCAGACTCTGACCCTCGTCTCCAGCAGGAAGCGCACCGGCTCCTCCACCTCTGTGATCACCAGGTCCACTGCTGTCGTCATGTACATGAATTTGTCTGGTAAAAGAAAATAGTCAAAACGTTTATTCCCAGTGGATGATTCTCTTCTTTTCACCATCAATAACAAATTCATATTGAAACAAACCCTGCAACTGTGTGATTATTGGGAACACTGGACTTGTTGTGTATGAAGTGGAAATGGTGGTGCATGTTGTATGGCGCGAGGGACGAGAATGTTACAAACTACTAAGTCATTTGGTTGTCCTAATTATTTTTTCAGATATATTTATACGTGACCTGTTCACAGGGCTTGGGAGGGTTACTTTGTAAATGTAATCAGTTACCGATTACTGAATACATGGCTCTGAAAGTAATCCGAATACAGTTACAGTTACTTGTCTTAAAAACGTATTCAGATTACTTTTGGATTACTTTCTTTTTCCATCACAGATGGATATGTTTTGGTGAACAGGAGACACAAAAAGCAAAAGGAAACTGAACGTGTTTTTACTGTTTTAATGGCTTATCAAGAGCACAACTGAAACATAACATCTGAAACGATGTAACAACATAATAAACTTTTTGGGGATGCAGCTTGGGATGTGAGGAGTGAGGGACACGGCTTAGAACGGGCGTGTCGCCTTCTGTCCTGCCAGTGTTGGCAGGACATGAATTAAAACGTTGAACTCGGACTTTATTTTTCATTTTCGGCCAGGGGTGTGGAGCTATATTTGTTTAAGAACCGGATTGGCAAAACAGGAGAGTGTGTGCACCAGTCTGCCTTGATCTATGTATTCATGTCTGTGACACTCACAGTATCTGCTGCCCACAGCTGTTTTATAGAAGGAAAACCTCCTTCACTTCATGAAATCTCTGCAGCACCAGGAGGCAGCGGGAGGGTTAACTCAGNGGATGTTGGAGGCAATTATTACTGCAAACAAAATGTCACATTTCTTACACTCAAAGGGACACTATGTACAGTTACACACACACACACACACA